TCTACCACTGTCTATACCCAAGTTTGAATGCACTTTCTAGCAATTTAGATTAAATCTATGCTGAAGAAATCATATTTTATTTTGTACCACATTGTAACACTTCTCTAATTAAAAAAATAATAAATTAGTTGTGTTTGTAAAGCCCTGCCTCTATTAGATAGGTGCCACTCAAAATAATGTGATTACTTTCAGCAGTAGTACATGAGGGTCGATGAAAGAGTGACTGCATGCATGTGCAATGTTTGGTAAGGATAGGCAAAGTTCCGGCGTTGCTGCAGAAGTGTGACAGTTGGAGACAAGACAAGTAAAATGGCATGATTAAACAATTTTCACCAATTTAGTCGAGGAGGCCTGGCAAAGGGAACTGTAGTTGAAAATTGAACATGATTAATTTCTTATGCATTCATTCACAAATTAGTACGGAGATCACGAGATACATAATTTGACGTGACAAGTAATGCGCATGAGTAAAATCGTTATATATAAGTATAACTAATATATAAATCAAGATACAAATCATTCACATAACATGCATGTCCACATTATATGGTATCTCTAATATTTTCCACAAATATCTATAAATAATTACAAATTGCAATGGCCAGTTAATTTTGATAATTATTGTGACAATTTTTTGGGTGTCATTGCATAAACCATTGTCACATAAGCCTCGTTTTCTTGCAACGTAGAATAGGTCTCTGTCAAAGCAAAACAATAATTCCCCTTGACATTTTTCAGTTTATGTAGGGTAGTGTTTTATACACTTTTTCACTTCCTACACATATCTTGTAAATTTATATCATTTGATCTTTTAGTTCATTACACTCGATAGCTGAAATTTAGAGGAATTTGTGAAAGATAAAAAAAGTGTGAGGATGGCACTACCCTTTGGCCCTGTTTGGCAGATCGGATAAAGGATCAGATATGACTAGTTATACAGACTCGGGTGTTTGGCGTTCACTCGTACTAAATAAGCGCCGAATTAATTTAACTGGTCTGCTTATTTAACACGGTATACGTCTGCTTAATAAAACCAACAAAAACACTCGGATTATTAGTCGGTTTTGCTCTCCTCTCTAGTGAACTCAGCCCTCTCTCTCTCGCATTCTCTCGGCATCGTCATCCTCCCCGTCACCTTCTTTCGCCATCGTCGTCCTCTCTGTTGCCTTCTGTCGTGTCGCTTTCTCTTGCCATCTCTGCTCTCCTATTCCTCGTCGCCTTCCTCGTTTTCCTTTCCTTGTGGCCTTCCTCATCGCCTACTCGTTGTCCTCCCCTGCAATTGAGTCTTGCAAAGAAACATGGTGCGGCGAATAGATGATTTCAATTTGGGATTCTTCAGCAACTGGTTGTTTGAATTTATTTTGGATTCTTCTGTAATCGGGGAAGAAGAATATGGGAGAGGGAGGGATGGAGTTTGGGGGGTGCGGTGAAGAGATCTGGGGAACAATTATTTGGGATTCTTCTGCAGTCGGGGAAGAAGAAGAAGGGAGAGGTGGGAGGGAGTTTTGGGGGGGGGGGGTTGCAGAAGATCTGGGAACAAAAAGATGACTTCACCTTTTTTTTTTAATTTAATTTTAAGTTTGATTCCTCATATTCGGTATAATACCAAATAAAGTATAAATAATACGGTCATTAATCCGATATTGTACCAAATGGCCGACTAATTTAGTCAGTACTATCCAGTGGTTATTTATCCTATTCGACAGAAATAATCAGTACAGTTCGAGTTGACAAATGAGACATTTATGGAGTGTTGTGCGTATATAATACTATATTTTCTACTGGGGTTGGTTAGACGAACCAAAATAACACTACAGACTGCCATAAACATTTATAACTTTAATACTTGGACACCAATACCATGTATGCAAATAATGCATGCATGCATGCAAAATTATACGCACAAAAAAGTGATCCCTCTATATTAATTTGATTTTTTCCAATAAATTAATCCTAATATACAGATATAGCCTATATATATACACGTCCCACACACCACTATAGCAAGGTGAAGATAAACTTTCAGTGTGCTTTCATCTTATAAACCACCATATATGGCTGTACAATCGGCAGAAACCATGAATCTCCACCACGTTGCCGTCCCACATCATCCCACTCCTCAAGCTCCCGAAGCGTCTGGTCCTCCACCACGGCTTTCACGTCAGCTTCCTCGACTTCACCACCGAGGCTTCCACCGCAACCGCCCTCCTCCACTCCCCAACCCTCCCCTCCGGCCTCCGCGTCTTCGACCTCCCTCCTGCCGAAGTGCCCACCCTCGTTCACCCAGAAATGCCCCCCCCCCCCCGGGACCCCCGCCTCTGCGTCATTCTTATTAGAGAAGACCCCTTTTATAAGCTCATCCCAATCCCACTTCACTGCGTTGAACCGTTTGATTAAAGAGGACGAACTGTTGACCAAAGTTGACTCTGAATGCTTGGCCTGGCTAGACCAGCAGCCTCCAGATCAATTTCATCGCTCTGGGCAGCGGCGGGACGATGACGGGGGAGCAGCTCACTGAGTTCGCGTGGGGGCTGGAGCTAAGTCAACAGATGTTCATATGGTTGGTGCGAAAGCCGACCAACACGGGCGCGTGGGCAGCGTTTTTCAATGTTGGAGGGGATTTGAACGATCCGAAGCCCCATTTGCCGGAAGGGTTCCTTGAGAGGACAGTGGAGTAGGGGTTGTGGTCACATCCTGGACCAGTCAGGTGGCGATCCCACGGCATCCGTGACCGGCAGATTTTTGTCCCATTGCCGGTCGCGACAAAATTAAGAGCAAGTAGACCAAAAAATTGTATTTATTAATTAAAAATAGGGACAAACAGGTACATATTTCCAACCCTACTAGTTATTATGCCACGTAGACAAGTATGATGTTTAACAAAAATTAGGTGCGGATGTTAAAAGTTTTAAGGACGATTATTAAGGCCCTTAATTTAAGTTTTAAGTATGCATTGTTAGTTGCATTTGTCATTATTGCATTTTGTGAATTATTTTAATTTAAAAACGATTTCCATTCTACAATTAATTGTATGATACATGTTCTCTCATTTTCAAAGTTAAATATATTTATAATTTTTTTCATTTCTTTGAAAATATATTTATGATTCAGAAATTAATACCATCACCAACCCAAATGAAGAAACAAGAAGTATTATCGGCAAAGTAATAATTAAGTTTCATACATCAACTAATTAGATGCAAATGTTACATAATATAAGTACGATGAATATGTACACATCACCCTAGTACATAACGTTTTGACAAAATCTAAATCCAATCGAAGACTACATCCCTTGAAGGCTTGAACCACCACGGGATGGCGTAGTGGTTGTGGACAAATTCTAGGCCCGTATTCTACACGACACATCTTAGGTTCAATTTATGCAGCTGGTGAATCGCACAATAGTGGTTAAAGTGAGACTGAAATGCTTATGTGAATCTTCATGGCCCCTAGAAAGGTAAACTATAGCGACGAAGCCACTATCTAGTCTCATTTATAAAAAAGAAAGACTACATCCCTTGATTGAAACACACAACACAAAATAAAAGTCTGTCTTCCATCTTTCCTGTAAACATAAAGCACAAGATGAAAAAAAAACTGTTACAAATTTTCCCAAAAGAAAAACACACATTGAACCCAACTTAAAAATGCGGTATAGAACAACTATACTTAAATGGAACTCACAATAAAATAAAAAAAAAATATATATATATATATATATATCTCAAAATCAAAATAATTAGGTAAAGAACTCACAAAATATATATATATATATATCTCAAAATCAAAATAATTAGGTAAAGAAAAATAATGGAAATTGTTACATGCATGAACGTTGCATAGCAAGAAAAAAAAAAGAATTGGAATTGGCCCTGTCATCGGCGTCGGTTTATCCGATTGGACCGTTGACAAAATAAGATGAACCGGTGACGTCAGCTTCAGAATTGTCGAAGTTGTTGACGTGGCTAAACAAGCAGCCGCCCGGTTCGGTTGTGTACGTGTTATTCGGGAGCAGAGGTATCTTGTTGGGGAGAGATTTTTCAGTATGATCGGTACAAAGGATGGTACACCACGTGTTATTATATTAATTGTGAAATATGTGTGCTAAAAAGTAAATAACTTAAAAAATTAAATTTCTTACAATTTTTATTAAAACGTGTAATGTACCACTTGTATTCCTGCCATAATGAAAAATTTCTCTTCGTCGGGAGAGCAAATGAGTGAGTTGGCTTTGGGAGATTGGAGTTGAGCCAAATACGGTTTGTCTAGATTGTAGCATTACTTTAAATTATTTAGTTAATTCATTCCGAGTTATCATTAAGTTTGAAAAGTATTGAAATTATGTTTTATTTTTAAACCAAAAACGGATGGTCAGTCTATTTGATGTGGTCGGTACTCAATTTTTTAAGCCCAGTGCCCACACCTTTTAAAATTGTGTTAAAAATAATAAAACTACAAAAACTAAGATTCGAAGAACATAACACAATTTTATCCAACTTAGTGAATAGAATATAGATTATTTAGTCCAAATCTGTTGACTCAAAAGCCTAAGTGAATAGAATTATAAGATAACAACATGTAATGCTAGAAAAATCAAATTTGAAGATAAAATTTTAAAACTAAATAACATAAAAGTTGATGATTAAATTATTATTTAAACGTTGATAAACGTAATTATTTATTCATTGATAAACGTAATCATATGATCTTTTACCCACTTTCGTCGATAACACGTTTGCCATTTTTCACTTTCTTCCTCGTCATCATGAATCGTGTGGTAAACACAATTTGTGCACAGAGAGAGAGAGAGAGAGAGAGAGAGAGAGAGAGAGAGAGAAGCAGATACTTATACTCATTGAAAGACCAAAGCAAAACAGTAGAAAGTTGATGAAAAATAAAAGCTTGAAAGCGAAGCCCCATTGAAAAACCTCAGCCTTTGCTTAGATTAAAATATACGGTAGTCATTCACACGACCAATATGTAACAGAGAGAGAGAGAGAGAGAGATGACGTTTACGTCAACCCTTGTATCATATGATAAAAAGAAATTCAGAAATTCCATAAATAATTTGAGACTTGCCACCTAAACCAAACTTTGAAAGGATCCCTCCATCCACCCACAAATTATGCAAACTGAGCTTCCCCTCTCACCTCTCTGTTTTTTAAGGGAATTTAATGCCCCAAACACCATTTTCTAGCTGAACATTGCTGCAAGTGATCCGCAGGCAAAACATGGCAAAGCGATCGGATTTTGCGCAGAAGCTGTTGGATGATCTTCGCGTCCGCAAGGAGAAAATGGGTGCGTCTCAGAGCTCGAACCGGTCGAACTCCATGGCAATAGGTAAGTTTCTAATCTAATGCACCCCATTTAAATGTTTATTAATTTCACAGATTAGTTCTTGACGAGGAAAATGTTTAATTCTTCATCACTAGCACAGAGCACGAGTGAAGGCTACAGTTAAAGCAGCACGAACTGTGTAAATTTATAAGCACAAAACCAGTTTTGAAGGAAAGAATCTTCTTGTGTCCTTTTTACTGCAAGTAATCATGGATTAAAAAAAGTTTATGTAAGGTCAAAAAATCAAATATTGCAACCATCATAGACCAATATATCATCTTGTCGAGACTCGAGAGTGAATCCCACATCGGGGAAAGGACATAGTGTTTGGTTTTTCTGTTTCATCTTTGAAATTTTTCTGAATGTGACTCGATTGAACATATTTGCGGTCCATTTTTCGTTTGCGACAATCTTGATAGTCTGTTTAGGCCTAAATAGGCTTGAATGATCTGTGTTCTTTCGTTAAAGTAACGTTTATTTGTGTACTTATTAACCAAATCCATATGCAGTGCAAAAAATAATGTGCGTTTCTTTTTTTTTTTCATGTGTTGATACAGATGCATATGCTTATTCCAAGCAAGCTTATAGAGGAAGAGGGGATGCAAGAACCAGTGGAACAGTAAGTAATCTGACGCGAAATTGTTGTATTCCAGTTATTTGAGGAATCGGAATAGAATGAACTTGGTTTCGTCCAAATGTTTTTATTTTCGTTCGAATTACTACAGATTGGCTCCAGAGGAAGTAGCAGAACACCGATTATTCAAGATGGTTCGAATCAGATTGTTGCTTATGGGAGAGGAGGTAGGAGCTCACAACAAATGGGAGATCTTTCCATGGCATTGGCTTTTGCACTTGAAAATGGAGGAAAGCTCGGGAGGGCGGATACATCTAGCAGAAGTTCAATGCTAGGATTTTTGAATCAAATTGGGAGGGGAGCCATGGAGTTCAGCAAGATGGAAAGAAAAGGTAGCACGAATAGGTACTTCGGTTCAAGTAACCAATTTCCTAACCTTTCGCATCTCCATATCGAAGAAATATCGAGAGGGGCACATAAATTGAATCAGATCCTAAAAGCATGCTCGAATGGTCTTAATGTCAATGGATTTTCAATAGAAGTTGGGAAGGAGTTAATGAAAGGGGCAATGGATTTGGAAGAGTCCTTGAGAATGCTCGTAAACCTGCAGGAAACTTCTGATTACATGGTCCGCTCTCAGAGGAAAAATCGGATCACATTGCTAGATGAGGAGGAAGATGACGAAGATAATGCTGTTAAAATAGATGAGCAAAAGCAAATTGATCTGCCAAGGTTCTCATTTGACAAGGGTTCGAGACACGGGCGTAAAATTCAAGAAGCTGGAAGGACGGGGTTCATGCAGAAGATGGCTGCAGCTCTGACTTATACTACAGAAGGTAGTAGCTTCAACCGCGAAAAGCAAGGGAAAATAACCTCCTCCCCATCAGTTACTCAGAGGCAGTCGGTCAGCTATAGCTCCGGCGTCAAGAATCCATCAGCAGAATATAAAGAGTCTAAACCAGAAAAGGAAAGAATTCCAAATGTAATTGCAAAACTAATGGGGTTGAATGAGCTTCCGAAAAACGAAAGCATGAAGCACAAAGCGCATGAAGACTTGAGTTCCAAATCAAAAACAGAAAGCCGGACGAGAGAGCAAACAATGCGCGAAAGGAGTAAGATTTCTGGAGTTAAGACTAAGGATCCATTGATGCATAATACCACATTTGTTTTGCAAGCAGAAAAAAACATGCTCCCCAACAATGTCAGCCTTGAGTTAGTTGTTCATGATGGAACATCGCAATGGAAAGACCCGGAAGGATTTAAACCGGTAGCAAGATCAGAAAAGGCAACCATCAAATCAGATAAGCAGCAAAAAACCACTCAGAGCGTCAAACCGAATAAAGCTGTGGTGCATAACAATTCCGAAGCGAGACTTGCGACACAAGGAAAAACAGAGTTCAAGGAAAATAGGGTTCAGACGGAAAAGCAAAACGGGATCAAGATTCCCCTGAGAAATCAGCATAAGTCACCGAACAATCATGAACTTCAGCAGCAATCCATGTTTTTGAAATCAGAGACACTGGAAGATAAGCGCAGAAGAGAGACGAAGGAGCAGCAGAGTCCACAACCAAAGTTGCCAGCAAGAAAACAACGAGGAGGCGAAATCATATCAAGGACTAAGTCAACAGGAGCAGTAGATTTGCAAAAGAAGCAGACACTTGCAGACCAAGCTAGACTACATAGGAAAAACACGAGAGAAGTCGGTGGTGCAATGCAACCCAAAGGAGTTTCAAATGGCAGATTCCATGAAAATCCGGTCAGAAGCAAAAGCTTTTCTGATTTGAATTTTGACACGAACAAATCATCTCCAAAGTACCTGGATCCTGAACCATCAAAAGAAAAATTTGGCACTCCACTGGCTATGGAGGAGAGACCTGTTCATGCTGCACCACCATTGCAGAAGGCAAAATCTAGAAGAGTGAATAAAAGCGAAATGCCTCGAAGAATCGATGAAGTGGCAACCAGAAGAAGCCATGAAAAACTTGGTAGCCAGAATGCAACAGAAAAAGTTAGAGCCAGCAGGCTAAAACAAGCTGAGCCACGCATCGTCAAGTCCAACAAGTCAAGAGCAAGCATTCAATCAGTAGATTCAACGCAAAACCTACATATAGAAGCCAAGCTGGAGGCTCCCACTCTGTGTGATCCCAATGAAGTTCATCTACTTCCAAATGAAAGTGTAAGTCCATCTATACAAAATCTGAAAATTCATAACTTCCAAATAAAAGATACGTCTTCAGTTACAAAATTTGTGTAATTCAAATTGGCGGATAACTGACTTAAGCTTTTTTGGATGTTATGCAGTATGATCAGCAATATCAAGCACCTGTTTTCGGAGATGATGAGTGCATAACTGCATCAACTACACCTAATGGTAAGTAGAACCTCTGCTTTCAATTCAAATTCCTATCTTACACGAGAAGAACTTCTCTGCAACGGGGAATGTCATTGTGGCAGTATTTCAAGCCAATCACTCACTGCCATGTGAACAAGTGGCAATACTTACGTTGCTCACAATGGCATCTAGTTGCAGGTAAGTTTTTCTCGTCTAACACAAAATGCGAACTCATTAGGTTTCTAAAAGTTGCAGGAAACCGTGAATCCGGCTTGGACATTTGTTATCCAGAAGTACGGGAGCACCATAAAGCATTCAACCTAAGAAAACAAGAGCCGCTGACAGAAAGCGAAAACCGCTTGAAGCAGGTAGTGATCAAGAGCCATCATTTCCTCAACACAGCAGAAGCACTTTTCAAACTCGAAATCCCTTTTGGCATTCTTCACGACAGCGAACGCGACTGCAGCCCGGATGTAGACATCAAGCTCACATTAGAATGCGGCTATGAAGTAATGAAACGAAAGGGGAGAAGGCATGAGCTCAATGTCCATCCTAACTGCACGAAGACATCGATAAGTTTTGTCAAAATACATTCCTTGGATGAGCTGGTTGGGCAACTGCATAAAGATTTCGAGACACTGAAGTTCTACGGAAGAAAAGGAAAGTATGAATGTGAGGTGGAAGCGTATCTGCCGCAAATGCTGGAAAGCGATATGCATAACTGGGAGCCGGACGTGAATTGCATGTGGGATATGGGTTGGGATGAAACTATGTTTGCAGTTATTCAAGTGGATGAAGTTGTGAAAGATTTGGAGAGGCTTCTGCTCAATGGACTTGTAGATGAGCTTGCCAGAGACCTCCGTCGCACTGGTTTTTCTGCAATACATTAACCTGTTGAATACGAACACTTGGAAGTACCATTATCAACACGAAAAGGATTTATTACGCCATTTGAGCAAAGTTTGTTTTATTTTTTATTTTCGATATATTTGATTTTCGAAGAGATAAATTATAATGTAAACCTTAATTGAAGAATTTTCTTGTAATGAGTGTGCATTTTTGTTTTAATCATGAGGGTTTATTCCACTAATCAAAATTGTCATCACCAAATTCATATTTGTTCTCGATTTATGCATGTCGTCCTTACGGTCACACTCTTCTCTGTATCGTTCCAATTTTGCAAGAGATAACAGTAATTCCGCAAGGGTGAAAGCTCCACCCGAGCTCGTACTGGTTACTTTTGTTGCCGTTAACATCATCGCCATGCTCTGTCACATCCGGTCTGGACCCCATCACATCCGGACTCGACTCCACCGTAGTACGATATTGTCCGCTTTAGGCCCCGACCATGCCCTCACGATTTTGTTTCTGGGAACTCACACGAGAACTTCCCAATGGGTCACCCATCCTGAGATTGCTCTCGTGCGAACTTGCTTAACTTCGGAATTCCGATGGAACCCGAAGCCAGTGAACTCCCAAAATGTCTCTTATTAGGTAGATATGAAAATATACATCCCCTAAACGATGTGGGATGTTACATGCTCCGCTTGCTCTTGCTCCACGTGAACTGGAATTTCTTTTGCGAACCGCTTAGTTAAAGCATTCAAGAAGTGTTAGGCAGAAAGCTTAGTTTTGAATGTTTGAAATCTTCTTTCTTCTCCATAATTGTTAGCATCATTCAAAAGGTTACTTGCGCGCCAATTATACCCAACTTCTCAAACTTTCCTTACCTTTGTGCGTTTGTTGGAATCGAGATCCTCTCCGAATCTCGATGTCCGAAGCCAGCAAACAGCAGACAAAGAGATATGGGCCGTTGATATGAAAAAGAGAAATCCAGACTTTTAATTTGTATGAAGTGAATAAGTGAATGAATTAATACGAGTCGTAGAATTTAAAATAAGTTGTCGGAATCTCTAGATTCGTTGATTCCGAACACAAAAATCCAAAAATGATCTCAATTCTTTTGTTGTTATTCAAGTGACCAAATTAATATTCTACTAATATATGAGAAGCACTTTTTCCCAGTGTGCTTTATATTGTAGGTTATTTTATGTTGTTCAAAGTTCTTTTATATTGTAGGTTATTTTATTTTTGTTTACCAAAAAAAAAAAAAAAGTTCTTTTAATCTGAAATTGCCGTCACTTTCTAAAACGAAGTGCTTCCTTCTTCCTTAGTGATGAAGTAAAATTAGCTTTGTGTAACGTGGCTGGTTGATTTTGGTAGACCGTAGATTCACAAAAGTGCTTTCTTTTCATAAAATAATGGTAACGAATTAAAGTGGTTTTGGATGGATTTTTTGGTTCTTTTGATAAACATATTGAACTGACTGAAAAAAAAAATATGTTGTTGTTGTCATTACTTATGTGCTAAGGTGTTCTTTCTCTTAAAATAAATAAAAAAAAAAAAAATGTTCTCAAGTGTCCGTGCTAGGAATTTTTTTTATCGGAATACTACTACATAGTGTTACGATTATACTTAAATTATAAGACTGTATTTATTTTTAATTAGTATATTTTAGGAGCGACAAATATTGAGCTTGTTTGGAAGTATTTTTAAAATAAATGAAAGCATTATTAATGAAAACATTTTTGAAATCAATTCTTACTAAAAATGCAAGTAAACTTTAAAAAAAATACTTTTAGTGCTTCATCTAACATAACTAGTGTATCTTGCATGAAGTACTTCAAGTGTGTTTATACTTAAAAATATTTTATCTAATAACGTTTTTAGTTTAAAATCACTTATAAATGAGTCTATTAATTATGTCGTCCACATATTTCAACACGTGGAAGTTACAATTAATTTACGATTTTACCCCAAGTCTTGCTCTTTCCGACCTTCTATTTATGTTCTCCCTCCATTCTTTCACCTTCAGAGAATTTAACAGAGCACTCTGTCTTCAGCCATGGCGATTACATTCCTTCATGCAGTATCACTCTTCGTTTTATCTGTTAACCTCGCAAGTAAGCTCTTAAAATGTTGATTAACTCAATCCTACTATCGAAAAAATATTTTTTACTTTTAAGAAATAAACCCCATAATTTAAATTAAAGGATAAATTGCTCTGTTTTTTCAACGCAGATTGCCAATCATTTATCGGCGTAAACTACGGCCAAGTCGCCGACAACCTCCCGCCGCCGTCATCCACCGCGAATCTGCTCCAGTCCACCTCAATACAAAAGGTTCGGCTTTACGGTTCCGACCCGGCCATAATCAAAGCCCTGGCGAACACCGGCGTCGGAATCGTCATCGGAGCGGCGAACGGCGACATCCCGGGTCTCGCATCCGACCCGAGTTTCGCCAAGAGCTGGGTCGGCGCCAACGTGTCCCCGTTCTACCCGGCGAGCAACATTATCCTCATCACCGTCGGCAACGAGGTGTTGACATCCGGCGACCAGGGCCTAATTTCTCAGCTGGTCCCGGCGATTCAGAATGTCCAAAACGCCCTCAATTCCGCGTCTCTTGGAGGGAAAATCAAGGTCTCCACCGTACATTCCATGGCGGTGCTCAAGCAATCCGAACCGCCGTCCTCGGGAAGCTTCGACCCCGGTTTCGGCGACGTCATGAAGGGGTTGCTTGGGTTTAACAACGCCACCGGTTCGCCTTTCTCAATCAACCCGTACCCGTATTTCGCCTACCGGGGCGACCCGAGACCCGAGACACTTGCTTTTTGCCTATTCCAACCGAATGAGGGGCGGCTCGACACCAACACAAATATTAAGTACATGAACATGTTCGATGCTCAGGTGAAGTATCTGCACCGGTTTTGTCCGGTCCAAGACCGTTATTTATTAGTTATGTTGGTTTTTTTTTTTTTACAAGCGATATTCAACTTTAAACTAATCATCGTCTCCAATTATGTGCAGGTGGACGCAATAAGATCGGCATTGGACTCCATGGGCTTCAAGGGGGTGGAAATTGTGGTGGCGGAGACCGGATGGCCGTACAAAGGAGACGACAATGAGGTTGGTCCAAGTGTCGAGAACGCGAAGGCTTATAACGGAAACCTGATTGCGCACCTTCGATCGATGCTTGGGACGCCATTGATGCCGGGGAAGTCTGTGGACACTTACCTCTTCGCACTATATGATGAGAACTTGAAGCCTGGCCCTGGGTCTGAGAGAGCGTTTGGTCTCTTCAAGCCTGACCTCACCATGGCTTATGATGTTGGCCTCTCTAAAAGCAGCCTGGTAAAAAACATGATATCACTATCAACAATTTGGGATTTTATGGTAATTTTGATACGTTGATCCATCTAACGAAAGACATGACACATAACTGAGCGCAATGACGTTCTATGATTCATATAGCCGACCCTATTTAGTAGGAAAATGCTTTGTTGTTGTTGTTGTTGTTTGATACGCTGATCCAACCGGTTGTCGATTAGGTTAAGACTTGTTGACGTTTAGTTGTACTACAAACCCTGACGGAATTAGCTAGGGCTAATCGAAATTGATTATGTTATCAGCTAGTAACAAGTTACAAAGGGATTTACATATGTTCTAAATGTTTTTGTTGCAGTGTTTAAATTTAACTTGATTTATTTTGCTTCAGACCCCTACCACACCCATCACACCCACAACGCCGTCTTCGCCGTCCGCGTCACCTATGCCTTCAGCAGTACCCAAAACGCCGGTTAACCCATCGGGGCCAAATCCAAAGAAAGAATCATATTGTGTACCCAAGGCCGGCGTATCGGACTCTCAGTTGCAGGCAAATATAGATTATGTTTGTGGAAGTGGTTTTGATTGCACTCCAATTCAACCTGGAGGGTCTTGTTTTGAACCAAACAACGTAAAATCCCATGCTGCATATGCCATGAATCTCCTCTATCAAACCACCGGCGGGGATACTCAAAACTGCGATTTTTCGCAAACCGCCACACTCTCATCCAACAACCCTAGTAAGTTTGTAACCTTTATATTTTTTCTTCTTTTCATTCATTAAACTTGTACCCTTTTGTGTTACGTAGGCTATGATAGCTGCAACTACCCAGGTGGGAGTACCTAAAGATGTATGGAGGAACCTGGGAAGATTCAATGTATATGGAGGGATTTCAGTTAATCTGCCTCCTTAATATATGTGTTTGCTTAGGAATTAGGTTTCTTTGTCAAGAAGTGTCTGTATATTTATCTTATGAGAGAGTTGGTGTTTGATGTCATGGTTTTGAGTACTCAAATCTGTACTTGAGTCTTCTAATTATGCAATTCATGTTTTTCAAAGACTCTTTCTAAATAACTTTTGTAATTTTTACGAGTTATATTTTACATACGTGTTAGACTGAAATTTGCAAGTATTATGTAATTCATGTTTTTCAAAGACTCTTTCTACATAACTTTTGTAATTTTTACGAGTTATATTTTACATACGTGTTAAACTGAAATTTGCAAGTGATAAGTATTACTTTGTGGTATGTCATCTCGCTTTGTTGTGTATTTTTGGTGACATAACAAGGATAGAGACGCACTCTAGATCTCACTATCGAAGCCCAAAGACCAGGCATTTAGGACCACTCAAATTGAGTCTGACAGTCTGCATTAACTTATTTCGCTAGCTCACCTCAAACAAATCAAGGGCTCCGATTTCTCTTTCACACAAATCAAAGATCGGGATTTTCCTGCATCTTAAGCTCCAGATACTAATGTCCGGAAAGGATCCAAATTCACATAACAATATCGTATTAATGTATTAGGCATGTTTAGTGACTTATCTATAAGCAAAGGAAAATCACCAATAATGAATAAATAAGTTCAATAGCATACGTGAGTTAAGTTAATTAGTTGGCCTAACTCTTTTTGTATTCAAATACGAACTTTGTTATTAATATATTATAATTGTTGATATAAATTTCTCATTTTGATACAATAAAAATTATGTTATATTTTAAATTAATCTAAACTGTGAAGAAGGGTTTCAAATTAACCAACATTCGGAGATTAAAAAAAATGCTGGACTATAGACGTTATGGGTTGGTTTATTTGGACCCGGTTCAACCCGGGAAATATAAGTAACAACAGCTGAGGAAGAGGAAGAGGAAGAGGAAGCGATGATTGGTTGAATTTGACATT